GCGGGACCGGGAGCAAGGCGCGTGCGGCCGGGATCGGAAGTGCCACGCGGAGCCGAGCGGGGGCTCTTTGCAGGCGGCAATCATCCCTTCAGACGCCCAGTCGCTGGGGCTCTCCGGAGGAAAGGCCTGATCCGCTTTCCAAGGCTGTCCGGTCCCTCTCTTGGCCACAGGGCCAGCTCTCTGTTACCGGTTCAGAGCTGGCGCCAAGGGAGAGTCCCACTGCATTGGAGGTTGGCGAGCCCCCGGGAGGAGGAATCTTCCTCTTCCTCTCCTAGTGGTCTTGATGCCCCACTAACCACTGGCTGCTTGGATCTACCCGTTTTGTAGACTGCAGCTCCCTGACCCTCAGTGTACCAGCTGCACCTGGCACACTGGCTGACCAGTTCCCTGGCCAAGAGTAGTTCTAGCATGGAAAGGACGGGGCCCCCAGCTCTGCAGACACCCAGCCTTGATTGACAGCCTAGCCCCAGCCTCAGTTTCCTCCTCTGAGACGTGAGTGTTGACTGTAGAACATAATGTGTGCAAATAAATGACAAGTGCCCTCCATGTCCGCCTCTAGCACCAGTAGCCCCTGCTGTGGCCCACGCTGAAGAAGACTGAGTCAGGGAGAGAGTGGATACCTGATGCTGAGAACAGTTCAGTGCTCAGGTCCAATAGCCCAGTAGAAAACCCTTGCTCTGGCTCTACTCTGTAAATGTGTGCCTAATAATTTACAAAAAGAAATGAAAGGGGGAAAAAAAATACTTCGAGCAATCCAAAGGTGGAAATTGAAGAAATAAAAGGTTTCTCTGAATAATCGACTTTCAAATGACACTGAGGTTTTGAAGGGCTTATTCATTTGTGCAGCAGATAAACAACATCAGAGTGTCCAGTTATTTGGAAATGACACCACCAAACTGATCTATATTAAATTCAGGAAGAATAGAGTTCCTCTTTCTCCTCTTCCTGGTCCCATAAGGCCCATAAAGTCAAGACCCAGATGGGTTTGGGGGGAGGTATTTAGAGAAAGCCTGAGAGTTGACCAGCTAAAAGGTTCTGCTCTGGCCCTCTGCAAACGCTGGCTCCTTTTCATGGTCTCAGTTTTTCTAGCTGCAGAGCCGGAGCTCTGTGGGAACAGAAGAGAAATGTAGCATAAGGAGTGCTCACTTTCTCCCTTCTGTGAGGCCATATCAGAGAAAACTCGGGGCCCCAGCCGCCCCACCCACCTGCTTCTTCCTCCCTTATGCAGGGTAACTCAAGGGGGATGGACCACAGCTGGGACCCCCAGTGCTAACTCCTGAGCCAGCCTTGGCAAATAGAAAGCAAAACCTCACCACGCTTCTCTGCCCCCACCCCCTTCCCTGGGGCCACAATAGCTGCTTTTGTTGGCAAGTATTATGTGTCCAAGCTCTTTTCCACTGAGGAAGCCTTTGTTAGGAAGAGGGGACATAGAGGCATAGCTTAGAGTCTGGCCAGAATGTGGGGAAATGGCCGGGTGGCTCCATTCCTGGAAATGAACAGAGCCAAAGCAAAGAAAGCCACCAGCATCAGCTGGGGACCCTCCTAGTAAGGCTTGCCTTGGGACTTGGGTGTTTCTCTGGCTGGTGGTCTCCCAGCATTTATACAACCTTCAGTTCCAAGTCCAAGGGCCTGGGGAGGGGGATATGAGATGTTGGTGATTGGTGGAGCCAGTGACCAATCAGAGGACACAGCTTGTGAAGAGGAAGCCTGAAGGCTAGGTGAGAGGAACAGAGAAGTGTCCCTGGGTGAATGAGCAGGGTCACTGGGGAGGGGGAGGGGATTCCCAGGAGGAGGGCCCCAGAGGAAGGTGCTGTGGAAGATGTGGTCCATGCCAAGCTGCCACAGGAAGGAGGATCCTGGCTGGGAGTGGCCAGCCCACCCTGAGTGCGCATCCCAGGCAGGAGAGAGCAGCTAGAACCCAGGGAAGCCAGGAAGGCGAAGGCGGAGGTGTGTGGCACCAGGATTGCTGCACCAAGCGTGAGGAAGATGGGCTGACAGGCTGTGGGCTGGGCAGGCCCCGGACCTCACTCGGAGGAGGAAGGCAGTCCCAGCACCCTGCTTGCGCTCCTCCGAACACAGACAAAGCCCTAGGGATTTGGAGATACAGGAACTCTGACCAGTCTCCAACCCAGCACTCATCTCCATGTGCAATTAAGCAAACTGAGGTCTAGAGTGGATAAGAAACTCACTACTGTCGCACCACCAGTTTCCAGCAGGGCCAGATCCCCAACTTCAGTTCTGTGACACCTGCTCTGTCCTCTGAAAAGTTTGAGCCTTCACCAGCACCAGGTTCCTTTCCAGCCTCCCCACCGGTTCAAGGTCGAGATGCTGCATCGCCCCCACTCAGGGGAAGAAGTGTGTGCAGCAAGAGCCAGCTGCTCCATGAGAGGTTGTGTGGGTGACCACGGGCCACAGCACTGGGGGCCGCGGGTGGTGGTTATTTGTTGAGCATCAGCTGCCGTCCTAAGCACTTTACAGGGTTTGTCACCACCTCGAGGTGAGGGATCTCAAACACACACGAGTGTCCTTGCCCTCATGAGAGCAATTACCAGCAGGACTCCAAAATACTCAGGTGAGGAGCAAAGGATAACCTTCCTCAGTGAAAGCTGCCATCACCCATCTAGACAACAGGAGGAAGTCAGCAGCTGGGACCACCCTGGTCACCTCTCACATCCCATGTCGGGCACCTCCAAGCCTTGTAGAGTCCATCTCAAAGGATCTTCTAAATACAGCTACCTCTTTCTGTCTCAAATGTGCCCCACCCTCTCTGGGCCACCAGCATCCTCTCTGAACACTGCCATAGTTTTGTCCTAACACGTGTCTTCCCTGCTCTCTGGCCCCTAGAAACTTCTCCAGTCACATGTGATGTGGCCCTCTCTTCTGTCACACCTCCAAAGGCTCTGCTGGTCGTGGGATAAAGATAAACTGCCTGCTGCCCACCCTCCTTCCTCCACAGTCCTCCAGCCTAGCTCCTTGCAGGCTCCATGCTCATCGTGCCTCAGGGCCCTTGCACAGGCTGCTCCCCCTGTTCTCAAGGCTCTGTCCTCCTTCCTCATCCAATTTCTGTTACATCAGATGTCATCCTTTCAGTGCACCCTTCCTAAAGCCTGACCTGGCCCCCAGTATGGCCACATCCTCCAACCATCTCCCACTGCCTTCTTAGTATTCTCACTGTTAGGTTTCACCTGATTCTATGCGATTTGCCGATTACCATCTACCTTGCCCCAAGCCTGCGAACTCTCCAGGGAACAGGGGCCACATCTGAGATCTATTCCTTGTATCCCCCGGGGCCTGTGTTGTGTCACACAGTGGGTCCTCAATAAATATTAAATTAATAATCAGATGCATGGGAGCTAGACATGAAGGAGAACTGGGAAACATGGGAGCCAAGCATTTCCCATATCAGTAACTCCAAGGTGAAACTTGAGCTGTGCTTGGAAGTTCTGAGTTTACCAGCAGCATGAAGGTCACCAGGCCCCACAGTAAGACAAGAATGGGGAGAAGAGTCACTTTCCTGTTCCCTTAAACCTTGAAAAGACGCTGAGCTGGAAACGCCCGTCACAGCTGACTCTTACTGGCTAGCTACGTCCCACATTTGCCCCAGTTCCCTCCACAGCCTTACAAAGTCGATATCCTGATCCCCAGTTACAGAGAGGGAGGCCAAGACTCTGCCAAGCTGCGCACTTGGACCCAGTGGTCAAAGCTGGTGAACAACAGGGCCATTTGCAAATCCAAATCGGCTTTCAGGCCCACAGACAACCACCAGATTCTCTCACCCTCACTGCTTCTGAGATCTCCTACTTCACTTCCCTTTCCTTTGTTTTTTTAGAAAGCAATAACGCATGGAAAAGGTGCCACCTTGCCATTTTACAGAGAGACAGATGGAGGGCACCAGTGAGATCACTCAAGGGCAGTCTAACCACTCAGGTTGCCTGGTTTCTGGTCCAGTGATCTTGAAGCATTGAGCATATTGCTTCCTCCCACCCAGGTCCATGAGCCCTGTGGCCATTCTTTGTTGGTTCCCTCATTGGCCCAGAGGAAAAAGGAGAAAAGAGTTTGAGTCTCTTCCTCCTGCTATTGAGAGTCACGATCCTGCATAGAAGTTCTATAGCTGGG